AAACTTTTAACCCTCAGAAGCTTAAACGGGAACTCTTACTCAGAGAGCGCCGGGAAGACGGCGTTCTCCTCGTCCAGCTGCTTCGCCAGCTGTTCGCTCATCACCTCAGCGAGAGAGCAGGCTGGAGCCGCCGGGGCCGCCGAACCCCACGGGCTCTGACAGTGACAAGAAATAGACACATGAAATGACTGAAGGACCTCCAGAGAACTCCTCGCATGAGTAATCAGAGTACTTGGATCATGTTACTGACATTACGATTACCTCAGGTTTCTTTGATCTTCACAATAACAAACAAACAGTTTTATACTAGTTCACCGTTTATATTCACGTCACACACATTCTTTAATGTTCCACAGATTTAAATGGATATTTATTGTTTTTACTGCTGTTTTACACATTTTATTATTTTATGTGTTTATGGTGAGCTTTTATCTTTTGCATCATATACATATATTATTTTATATCACACTCCCTTTTTGTGAAGCGTGTGCAGTCCAACACGGGACTGTATGACATCATTTCTCTCCTGATACCAACAGTTTCTGGATTGTTTTCTGGAATCTTTGTTATTGATTATTTGGTCAAAAAATAGTCCAAAATGTCCTGATTTACTCTACGGACGTCCCCCAAACTCAGTTTTTGTCATTAAGATATCCTATCTGACAAATTATCAGAAAGAAAAACAGAAGATAAGAAAAATCTGTCATCATACAAACTTTTTCTTGATTATCAGCTAAACAAATTCAAATACTGGTGCAGTCAGAGCTTATTTTAGCCAATGAGCTGGAGTTTAAACTGGTGGAAGCGGAGTCGAGATTTTAGTGTTTTTTAAATGTTCGTTTTTCACAGATGGATGTTTCTTATTTCCTCGAGTCTGCCTTCAGTCGAGCCTCGGTCAGCTCGTGTTTGCTCCGTAAACAGGCTGCATGAACAGGTGAGTCAGGAGCTACAGGTGGGCCTGACTCACTGACAGTGGGTGAGTCACCAGGCACAGAAGAACATGTTCAGACATGTCTGAAGCACAGCTGGTTATTTACAGTCTGGGGCAGGAGTGTTAAATATAAGGCCCGGAGTCCACAAATGGCCCGGCAGAGGCTCCACTCTGGTCCACCGGACTTTGGAAATTTTGGACTTTTAACTGGATTTCCTGAAGTTTCACCGTTTTCCTCACTGACTCAGACCCCCTCACGAGCCACTACAGCACAGTAATTATGTTAGAGACCAATAACTACACTTCCT